TCCTCCTCCTGGTTCTGGTATTCCACCACCTCCACCACCCCCTGGTTCTGGTATTCCGCCACCTCCACCACCCCCTGGTGGCGGTGGCCCGCCCCCACCCCCCGCCTCTTCCAGGTGGCCAGTTGATAGTACCGCAGCGTGCCAACACATACGCAGCAGCCCCTTCCCCGAGTATGGCGCCGTTGCCCGCGCCAAAGATGTCCATGAGGGCTTTCAACTGGACCAAGGTGCCAAACACTACGATATCGAGTACGTTTTTGTTCATAGATTTGAGAATTATTTGATTTATACTGGTAATTACTACTTTAGCTGTGAAGTCTTTCAAGCTTACTTCATAGAAGTACAGCAAAGAACGTGTTTTTGTAATCTTTAACATTACAAGAAGGCTGCGTGTCATTTACTGTTGAATCTAAGTCCAGTTTTATGAAATGTTCACCAAAGAATAATTTAGAATTGATTTTGTTTTCATTAGGGCAAGTCAGCGTGTGGAACGAGGTGATATACTTAAAAGAACCAGTCAAACTGAACTTCGATAAAATAGAGGAATTGTTCTCCCAAAAGAAGATCGAGAAGAGCAAACCAAAAGAGGAAGTCAAGCCAAAACAACCGAAAGAGGTAGTTCACGAAATTGCCATTAAAGCACACGTGAAAGAAACGTTGTAAAACTCCGTGACTGTGGCAAAGTGTGGCTTTTCTGCTCGGTCTTATTACCGATAAACACTGTATCGCTTTAAAAGGGGCCCACCACCACATATCATTATTTGTCCATAATTTGATAAGAATCCCAAGAGTTTTGTCCGTATACAAAAATGATTAATCGACCGCACATGTATTCAAATCGTAACTGTCTATTTTCGTTCATAACCCGTGTCTGTCATTGCAATGATAAGACCTAATTTGGTACTCGATCACCATATCCAGCAAGTTACTTAGATAGGCGTACAACCATGCTTGACAATGAGTTCATTTAAAACTAGAGACGCAGTCCACAGTAAACAATTTTTTAATTCAAAATTTTATTAGGCCTTACATAGTCTGTTGCAGCCCATAGCGTGACGTTCTGTCAGTGGTATATGTTTGTGGTATATATTTGTTTTAGATTTTACTGTTGGATGGAAAACGGAGCATGAATATCAACATTTTCCTGAAGCAATTCCGTGCACCAAACGAGGAAGTTATCAAGATGATCCAGAGTCTGGACGGCAGTAAAATTGGGGCAGAGAAGCTCCGGGGTCTTATCAACATCCTGCCACAGCAAGACGAGGTGTGTGTGTGTGTGTGTGTGTGTGTGTGTGTGTGTGTGTGTAAGAGAGAGAGAGGAATAACAGAAAGAAATAATACCTTTTAATGAAAGATCATCTTAGTGCTTTTGGACAGAGATTTATCCTAGTTAGGGTGTCGAATCGGCGTCCCTTTAATCTTTGCTTTTTATATGCAAAAGTTTCTTATTAATGTAATGTATCCAGTAACTCCCACACGACTAGGGTATATAACAAAATAGTTCACGTCCTCTTGTCGATAAATCACCAAAATATATTTCCAGATTGAAATGTTGAAGGCATTCGCCGGTGATAGGGCGTTGCTAGGTAACGCGGAGAAGTACTACGACCTCCTGGTTGCTGTCCCTGGCTACAAGATCAGTTTGGAGGGGATGCTGCTAATGGAGGAGTTCGCCGGGAGCAGGGACGACCTGGCTAGAGACATAAAGAACATGATATCGGCGATCACTTCTCTGCTTGAAAGTTCTAGTCTGAAAGCGTTCCTGAGGGTAGTGCTCGAGGCCGGGAATTTTATGAATACTGTAAGTATAATCGAGATAGAGAGACTATTTGTTACGTAATTACTAAGCTAAATTAGGCAATATTAAAAGAAAGGCCTTCTGGCGGCAGTCCAAGCAATATGGTCTTTCTCTTTTTCATTCGTTTGTCATTAATGAAAAAAGGCCTGTTATACCCAACAGGCCCGTAGCCAGGGGGGTTCGGGGGTTTGAAAGAACCACCCTTTTTGCTGGGAAAAGGTCCACTCTGGGTACAATATGATCTATGTACTTGAGGCTTTTATGGTCAAAAGGTCCATTTTTCAGAAAACGACCCCCTCCCTCTAAATTTGCTGGCCATGGGCCTGCCCAATGTATCGATATACTTATTCTCTCTACCATTATCGTCGCCGTTACCGGCATTTACCACCGTTAGCTTTGTCATCATAACACTTTGTCCAGTCAATACATCCTGCTTTCTTCTTAAAAGTAGATAGAACTGCAATCGATACTGTGTCATTGTAAAATGTTCTCCGGTCTACTTCTGTAACGAAGTCATACAAATGGTTGGTATTTTCCGTAGGGTAAACATGCTGGGAATGCTATAGGCTTTAAGATCAACTCCCTCAATAAGTTGACGGATACTAGAGCCAACAAGCCGAGGATGACTCTCCTCCACTACTTGGTCCAGGAGGGAGAGAAGGAGGAGGGAGTGATCAACTTTGCTGAAGATCTGGTCGCAACTTTGAAAATTGCCAGCAGGTTCGTGGGCAACGTTGGCCGTTTTTGTGTAGAAAAGAAAGAGATGAGACTAAATATTTGCTAATTTAATTAAAAGATATTATGTAACGATGTCCCTTTTCGCACTGTGAGTCACAATGCCCTGTTATAACGGGATTCGTGCATCTGTCCTTGTGTGCGTATGCGAGCGCAGGCGCGTGAGTTGAAGAGGTTAAACAATTATTTTAATGTGCAGATGTTGGTAATTGTCTGTTCATTTTGTAACTAACCAAATTCTGTATTTTTTTACCACAAGACTCTCTGTGGACAACATGACGTCGGAAGTTAACCAGCTGGCTAGCAGTGTCAACAAGCTGGGAACACAGCTCCAAAATGCACCGGAGAACATCAAAAACAACTTCGAAAAATTTGTACAGGTACATGTACTAACAGTAGCACAGCCGTTACTATTAAACTGGCTTTCACTTTTACATTTATTTCTGAACTTTACAGATTCGTTTAACACGAGAAAAGTTTCTAAAAACGACAAGTGTCTTTTGATTTATAAGAAGAAGTAGGCACCTTTGTATATTCAAGGATATATAATAGAGGTTATAACTTGATAAAATGTGGTACATTTTTAAAATACCAAAAATACTAGCTTAACATGCAGGGGGTAGCTGATCTTAAAACAAGTTGTTAAGAAATTGAAGCCTTTTCTCAAACATCTACAAACAAGAATGGAGATGTACTCACGTCAATTTCTTACAATTTCAGACAGCGACTGCGGACGTCACCGAGTTGAAGGCCTCGCTTGAAGAAATAAAAGAGCTTACACTGAAACTGGGCAAACATTTCTGCGAAAACGAAAGCACGTTCAAGCTGGAAGAATGCTTGGGAAACTTTAAAACATTTTGTGAGCGAGTAATCGAATGCCGCAAGGTAAATTAGATATCTGAAATCGTATAGATTTTTGAGTATGGCGTTTATTTGTTTTTAGTGACTTAGCCATAAGCATCATGTAGTTTGGATTTTAAACCTCAGTTGCGTAAATGTTTGTTAGAAAGTTTGGCATGTATAGGAGGGGTACGAATTTAATTTTATCGCCAAAACTTAATATCGTCTTATCACCGGTTTCAATAAATTTGAAAACAATAACAGAGTTAACCTGCAATTCAAATACATGGCCGGTGTAAATATTCCAATATTTTTTCAGGAAAATGAACAGAGAGCACTGCAGGAAATTAAAGCTGAAAAAAGACGCAAAGAGAGAGAGGCAATGGAGGCAAAGCGAAAAGAAGCTGGAGGTTTGTATTTGCCTTACTGCAGTACTGGTGGGTGTATGAATCATTAAGCACAATGGACTGTTTTGACACCGATGATATTAGTATCCAGCACAAATAGAATTGTGTACATAATTCTCAGCTGGTATATGACGTATTCTTATTAAGGTAGAATATAAAAACATATATAGATTATACTGTCGCTTATTTAAATAAATATAATTACGCCTACGCTGAGTTTTAGAAAAGTCTTCTATCACATCAACTTTCTACTCGTGTCATTTCAGGAAAAGTCGTGGTTCCTCAGGAAGAGGAGACGTGTATAGTGGACAAACTCCTCATGGACATACGTCGTGGTTTCACCCTTCGAAAGAGCAACAGCGTGACCGCGGCGGATTCTGGAGCTCCAAGCAGCCCGAGGTCTAGACGCATTAGCAGGATGAAGCAGCAAAACTCCAAGAACGCAGCAAAGTTAAAGAAGGAAAATGCCATTGAAGAGTCGCAGTCGGAAAGTCAGTCTGAGGAGAAAAATAAAAGCCCTAAAGCGGATGGTGATGACAAGGTGGAACACAAGGACGCAACGCCAGAAAAGGCAAAGCAGGTGTCTGTTGATGTTGAAGAGGCGCCAACAAATAACGTGGAGGCAACAGCAAATGTGTCATCTCCTCCTAAAAGCGAAAGTGAAAGTACGAGTAATGTGGAAACAACAGCAGATGTGTCATCTCCTTCTAATAACGAAAGTGAAAGTACAAATAATGTGAAAACGACAGCAAATATGTCATCTCTTCCTAATAACGAAAGTGAAAGTACGATATCTGCTGCCGCTGTTGACAATTCTAACCATACTGCCAGCAATACCCTAGAACAACACATCAAAAGTGCCCCCGAATCTGCAGATAATATTGAATCTGAATCTCAAAATAGCGAACATGAAAAAAAGGGTAGCGCACACGTAAAAAGTGAAAATGGTTCTGCATTACCGGCCAGTTCCGATATTGCCAACTCTTTGCCCGCGGAGTTAGAAGGACCGCCTCATAAATCTACAGATACAAAAACCGAAAATGAACAGGTTAAAGTTGATAATGGTAAACCAACGCCCTCTCAGTCGTCTTCACACGATTCCAGTTCTTCATCTGACTCTAGTTCATCTGCTTCAGAGTCAGACACGGACGAGAAAGGAAAGAAGAAAGAGACATTGACAGAAAAAAGCAAGCAAACTAATGCAAATGCGTTACACACTGCCACTTCAAAAAATAATGAACACGAAGAAAAATTGATGAAAGAAAACAACCAAGAGCAGCCATGTGTTGAAATAAATGGAGACGTCAGTGGTAGTAAATGTTAAATTTCCACGAAATAAACGTTCACCATGATCGACTGGCAATATTTCGAGCTTTTCTTTTTGCCTTTTTCTTTCTTATTTAAGCGGACAACTCAGAGTACAGCACGCAAAGCTGCAGACCCTCCGCTATAAAGAGGAAGGTTTCTTTGTAAGGAAACAGACAGCCACGTCGTCCAGCTCGATATCATCAACGTCATTTGCTGAAGATCATAACATTTCAGCAGCTGGGAATCATTTTCAAATTACCTTATACTCACTAACGCTCAGTTCATTACCTTTTTGTATTTTGCATTTTATAGCCTTCATTGCAGAAATATTAAAGACGCTATTTACTAATAATCTTTTGATTTTATTTTAAGGTGCAATGTTACGGAATATTAATGGGTAATTTCTGAGAATTTCACAGTTTAGGTCCGGTGCATTTTTTAGCCTCTCGATATAAGGGAGTGCAATGTATATTTTTTTTAAACGCCAATGAGCTGTACTAAGCTATGCTTGAACAGTAAACATCAATAATTTATAAGTTGGTTTTACACGATGTTTTGTCTCATACTTGTACGTGTATGCTATGGCTTTGGTAATTGTAGCAGCCTATGTATACGAACTGTTCTATCTAGCCTTGCAAAATCAGATCCGAACGTTTTCAGGGTGCATTTTATTTTGCTAAAATATGTTTTTTCAATACACATTTACACGACATGAGGCATACGTTTTTAGTATTTAAAGAATTGCTTGTGACAGTTACTAAAATATGGGTATTATTGGAAAATAAATGATATACAAACATTATTTACGTATTCAGTTGTCCTTAGCAATAATTTACGTTTCTAGACCAATCATTGAATTTTGCACGGCCCGAATTCACAAACTTTTAGGACATGGCACATAATTAATCGATCGCAAAATTAACTGCAACAAGAGGTTTTACTATGTCTGGTCTTGAATATGCGGTCTAACTCCTTGATCTGTTTCGACTCTTAATTTACTAACTTTAGGCCTGATTTGTGGCAGAATTTGTCACACGGGCATGTCAAAGTAAATGTGGAGGATCTTAGTAGGTGAATAGATCCCATGCAACATTTATTTAAAAAAGATTTCCCACAATGTCTTGATGCATAGGCCCTAGGTCCGTATTCTAGATAACTGAATAGAAAAAGCGTAATTTTAGGTTATTGTCAGGGGCGGATCAAGGATTATTTGAAGAGAGGTCTGCTGATGCGAAGCCAACCCCCCCCCCCCCCATGTCGAGTGGTTCGGGGCCCGCTGAAGGGCCAGCTGAAGGGGCCAATAAATTTGGGAGAGGGCGAACGATGATATTTGGCACGGATTAGAACTATATGATTCAGCTAGTCAAAATTCAAATTTCAAGAGGGGACCACTGGTGTGATTTTTTTCGGAAATCGAAGGGGGGGGGGGGGTCAGGACCCCCCTGACCCCTCCCCCTAAATCCGCCACTAATTGCAGGCTTTCGTACTAAAAAAAAAACAGAAAAAAAACAGTAGGCAAAGACAATTTCCCAAAATATCATTTTCGGGAAAAGGTGTTAGAATGGCCATGTAAAGTGGTATATTTTAACAACAAGTGGACTTCAGTTGCATCAAAAATGTACTGTAAATATTCTGACAGTGAACATTTGTGAGCAGTTTTAGCCAAAACCTCTCACCCAAAATGGGTCAAATCTGTTGTAATTTGCATAACAATAAGTTGCCCGCCATAGAGCGAGCTGAATTCTCATTCTGCAGCTGGGCAAAGTTGAGTGAAGACGTAACATTATGTGTGGTGAATTCACAAGTTTCAGCTTTTATAAGACGTAGAAGCAAGTATATGGTAAGTATAGCACTATTTCTTCAATATCCTCCTTCAATAAAACGCAAGTGCAACCGAATGAGAGCAAATTTAATGTAGATATTAGTAGCGCGGTTTGTTGTAATATTATACCCAGCGTTACTAGTCTGCACTCACAATGTCAAAATATGTTACAATGCTTTGGGACTACAAACGTACAGGTGAAATGGTGCTATCAGCTGACCATTGATGAAACAATAAGTTTGCTTGAAGTATTTCAAACTAGCTGTATTTAGTTCTGCACGTGTGAAGATTTTTGTATGACCCCTGGCAATTAAAAGCGCATTTGTGACTTAATTTAAAATGTTTTCGTGTAAATATAGACATGACTGCATTAAAAAGACTGATTCATTTAGATAATATTACTTGTCGTAGTTCTGAGTTTGGGATATAAGGAGAAGTCTACCCTATCAAGGTGTACATAAATTTTAAAGTCAAATTTAATTAACATTTCGCTTTCGAAGACAATTACGATGGTTTTCAGTGATTTCTTTAGGGTATATTTATGTTCTGTGATGGATTGATCATTTAACATTTCATGGGAAAGTTAGCAACTTTTAAAATACATCATTTTATCATTATCATTACAAGAATAAGGGTCCACATAGCTGTTAAAATCGTCTTAATTGTTTCAGATTACACTTTGGCAATCCATTTCTACTTAAAGATTGACATGCTGTCAAAGATCTTTTTGTAAGGTAGGTGTTTTTTAATATAATACAACACACGTTCACGCACATGTCAGTTGCTCATTAAGCGATGTTTTACAGATGAAAGTTTTACACAGGTTGACTACCGTCTCCAGTGAGCCGNCAGTCCTCTTTGGCTGGTTACAGAATGCGTATAAAAGGGCAGCAGTGCTGCAGAATAAGTCTCTATATTTCGGCAATGTCCAGTCAAATAGTTTGATATTTTGCAGACTGTTAGCTGATCTTACGGTATGTGAACTTACGGCAGCAACTTGCCACACTATTGTTGCATTATGCCACAATGGACTGAAGCAAACTGCTATTGCCAGACAACTGCATGTGTCCCAGGGTGCAGTTTCTAACGTCTTACAAAAACACGCCCAGACTGGTACATTAACACAGAGACCACGGCCAGGACGTCCTAAAGTCACCACCAGAAGGGTAGACCGCATGCTTCTGCGGTTATGTCGCAACAACCGGACAAAGACAACTCTTGCTGTAAAAAAATGAGTGGCAAATTACCATTCAAAAGCATGTTTCTAGAACTCTAGTGAATGCAAGGCTACTTTAAGTTGGCTACCTCTATTAACAGAGCAACACCAACATCTGCGTCTGGGGTGGGCTAGACACCATTTGCGGTTCCAGGCACAACACTGGGTTCATGTAGATTTTTACAGATGAGGCAGGGTTTGAGTTCCACCACCGTGATGGCTGAATCAGTCAGTAGGCTTCCAGACGAGTTACTGCACGAGGATTGTGTCACACTACAGTGACTTGTGGCCGTGGCAGTATCTGTGTATGGGCCGGTTTCAAAAACACTATTGGTGGCAATTGATGGAGACCTCAACCAGATAAAATAAAAGGACATTTTAGAGAATACTTGCTTGCAATTTGCAAGAAGGTGCTTCCAGGACAACTTCATCCTGCAAGATGACAATGCCCGACCACACCGTGCCCATGCAATGGCTGCTTTTCTGCAAAACCAAGAGGTAAACCAGTTGCCTTGGCCGACGGAATTCCCCTGACATGAATTCTATAGAAAACCTGTGGGCATAAATAGCTAGCAGAATCAAGAGCTAACCCGTCCAGCCTACAAATCGGCACAAGCTTAGGCAAGCTCTGACTAATGCGTGTAACACAATACTGGATCAAACTCTCAGAAACCTCTCTGCATGGATCCCTGGCCGAGTGAGGGCTCTGGTTGCAGCTAGAAGAGGCTGCATGCGTTCTTATCAGTTCCCATTTTTCACATTTGTCTTGATGATTCTGTTGTGAAAGAGAAAATCCTTACAAACTGATATTCTTGATAATATCGAGTTCATAAGTATTTAATACCTTGTTGTTATCAGCTATAAAATTATCCGTGCGCTGTTTATAACGCTGATTTGAATACGTATTTAAATTAAATTTTTGATGATGTATTCACATGGATTGATTTATTAAAGCCATATCGAACATGATAACAAGTGTTTTTTCATCCATTACTAATATATGGGAAAAAATCAAAGAAAATATGTTTGAAAAAATCTATTTAAATGTCAAGTCCGTACATTGCATCACATGAATTACTTGATTCAGCAAATCCCTCCATTGCATAAATAAGGAAACCTTTTTTAAATCTAGGTAAAAGGGGCAGTTGTGTGATCCAATATGTTTACATCCCAATGGCAGCGCAGTGTTTAATTGCAAAATTCAATTCAGATTTGAATAATCGCTACAGTGTGACAGTGAGGCACTCATTGCTGATTTGATTATAGTGAAAATGTCTTAACCACTTTCCCTAACGCTGAAAACATAGGTGTGGGCACTTCATATGTCATGTCTGCTTGCCTAGTTAACATATGAGCAGTTCTGAAGACAGGTTCTAACTATCAGCAGATTGACTTGTGTTTGACGGATACAGGGAAGAAACAATAAAAGGTGCTACTCGGGCACGATTCACAAAGTCAGTGCTACCCATCAGACAAGACATCTGATTTATCACATTCCCTGACCCTGAGAACATAGGTGTAGACACTTCATTTGTCATGTTTGCTTGCCTAGTTACAGAGATACAGAAGTAAAACGGTTTTTCAGTAATGGCGATCCTAATTTGCATATTTAGGAAAATTACGTAAATCTGATTTTAACAGAAACATCTTAATAATGTTCCTCGACCCTGAAAATATAGGTAAAGACACTTCATTTGTCATATTTGCCTGTCTAGTTCCAGAGATATTGCAGAAAATAGGAAATCTGGCGGTCATTTTGTTTTTTGCAAATTAGACCGTTAAAAACACAAAATTTCGCTTGGGAACCGGGTTAATCGGATTCAGCATCCCAAAATTATGCTAATAAACCTGGTTCCCAACTTTTACCCCAAAATGCCCCTACTATTCATCTTTTGTGGAAATCCCACTAGACTATATATAAAGCTAACTCATCTACACACTCATGACTCAGGAACCAGGAAAAAAAAAGACAATATTTAGCAGCATTATATCTTCAAATCCTATTAAGTTAAACAACACAAGGTTACTCAAGGGTTCAGTACGATAGCACTTTTCATCTGCCAGTAGATTACTAGAAACATTTTTAGTGTGAAGGTCTACTACGTTACATAATGAAGTAGAGAGAACAAATGCTGCACCAATATCACGTGGGACGGGCTAGGTATTACATTGCCCCATCTCAGTTCTTCAGATAAATCGTTCCCAATTGATATAACCCACCTAGACAGGTTAATTGATAGGGGATTAACACAAAGAACCGATGCTTGAATGTCCTAAGGGAGTGTGTTCTTAAAGAGAAACTGAATATTTAATCAAAATAAACCCACTTAAAAAGTAACTTATTTCTTATGTAAAATCTACTGAATATTTTTAATTGATTTTTGACTTAAGATAGAATTATTATTATTATTATTATTATTATTATTATATTAGTAACTGAATGTTAGAAAAGAGATTTTGGGATGATTAAAATAAACCCAAACATTTTAATATACTGTACTAGAGTTAATCGTGTTGCAACTAAACGCTATTATTGTATGAACCATATCTCAACTGCAGCAATTGACAAAACAAAAAACTAAATGAAATAAATAGGAGTTCATATGAAAATGAATGGATAAAAAATTGAAATTTGAAAACAAACGACTGACTTCTAAATATATATGAGCACACCCTTTTGTAAATTGTGTGTAAATTTGGTGGTTGGTAGTGTCCATTCAATTTAGTGAACATTTCTTTGCCTCTTTGGAAATCTCAGTAAAATATTGGATTTGAATAAATGGTATAAAAGTGGATATTTTCACCGCTGTTTTGTATTTTCTGCATGATTAATCATGTTAAATATGGTATATATATAATAAAAAGCACTGATCTTGACAATTTACATCTCTGAGGTGACCATTTGTAGACAAAAGCATATGAAATGGGGGTGGGATAACCTTACTGACCAATGCTGTATACTATTATTCATATTTGATTTATACTCTGTATATTTTAATATAAATTAAATTAAAATACCACGTACTCCAAAACAAAGTTTCAAAATACAAATATGAGGATATCATACATAAGGATTTTATTTGCTCTCTACTTTATTGATGCACAAAGCGCTAAATCCATGTATCTCTTCTCAATATATATGAGCACACCCTAATGTTAATTGGAGCAAGAAAATATGTATTTATAACATGGTCCTCAGATTCACGATACTGTAAGCGCTTACGCATAGACAAGGTCTACATTTTGCTAATGATACGTTTTATATACTCCATGTGTAATTCATATACAGCAGTTTACGTCGTTGATCACTGGTTTTATGCTCACGGCCAGTATAATTTTGTTTTGACTAGTAGTTTTTTCAAAATATGTGAATTTAGTGGTCCGACATGGCTTTAAAAATTTTCATTTTATTTTTGTGAAATCTAGCTGTTAAATTATGTCACAAAGATCTTGTTATTACTAATATAAATGCAATATTGGAAATATCTATGTCCAGTGCATCGTGATACATTTTAGGTAATTATCGCCCGTGAGCCAAATGACACAGATCAGACTGTATACAGGCACTGGATGGAAGACTTTTATTATCAATTTGGCTAATACGTGGAGAGCCGAAATATAATGACATCTCTGGCTTTTGTTACATTCGTCGAGCCGATGTATTAAATGTCAAATTGATATACAGGTATACATGTAGACGGTTGGAGAGTAATAGTGTCTCTGGGTTTCAGGATATATGTCTTATTTATTTACAGGTACCGGGTGATATTTCAGTTTGTCTAATACTTAGACAGTCGGAAGATAATGACATCTCTGGGTTTCGGGATATAGCCGTCCACTCCTAGAATTCAAGAAAAAAATAATTAAGTTAACTACTTAAATCATAAACAATAGTGTATGCATTAATTCACTGAATTATTTATAGTAAACATTTACCTTTTTATCCAAGTATACCTGATTTTTTAATGAAAAATTAGTAAAGAGATCTACAAATATGAGACAGACACAAACTAAATATAAAAAAGTTCAAGTAGCTATACAGGTAGGTACTTATCAGATATAATTTAGATGATTACTAAAATATACAGGACATACAGGAAAAACATAAGCATTAATAAACCAATTAAGTAATAGGCCTAACTAATTGAGTATACAGACAAATAAACTAGATAAATTAAAATCAAGTGCAACAGATTGATAAAGAAAAAAAATTGATAACTGAACCAACAACTATAACATATAATGGATTAATCCAAAATTAGCACAGGTGCAAATATCAATTAAGAGATAAAATTTCGGTTACATACCCACTTGCAATGGGGTGTCTGGTGCCCTAAGAATTTGCCAATACGTTCTCTTATCTGGATCCTCCGATATGCCGTTGATCTCGGTGATGTAGTGGCCAAGAGAGGTGTCCTTAGCTTTGAAACTAAAGGCAAGATCAACGAGATTAATGAACGAGCTTGGACATTGTTCGCAATTTTTTCGTCATGATTTTTTAAAATATAAATGTGACTCAATGCTATTATTCATTATTTGATTTCACTAACAGACCAATAAACTTATATCAATTTAATTCACTTCAAAGAGCACACACAGAACAGCGGACTAACAGATCCGCGGTTCAAATATTCGCTTCAATTCATTTATGAATTAGTGCATGTGTTTAACGACGTGCATATGGTCCATATGTATTATATGTTGTGCAAATTAAAGCAGTACATTTCTGTAAATCTATATGTTAAAAGACAAAATATTTAATCCAAATGAAAGAATTTGTTTTCACCATTAAGCTGTCATAAACCGTGAAAAAAGAGAACTTTATATTAAAAATTGAAAATCAAGCAGCCTACCTGAAATCTGATACTCTTTTCTGAAGAATTTCCATGGAATCGTACAAGGATGATCCTATTGGAACGGTCACATAGTAACTCTGGTTTTCACTGTGTCCTTCTATATTAGCAACTACCTGAATGGTGAATGTTAGCTGTGTGGGGGTTGTGGTTGTAGTGGGCGGAGCTTGAGTAGTTGTGACAGGGGGCGGGGCCTTCTGACAGATCTTGATGTCCCCCAAATCAGCATATAATTTGCCAGCAAGGGCGGGGAGAACCTGATTGGCAGCTGTCACTCCTCCAAACGATCCATCCGGTTCTGTTAGAATCAAAAGGCACTACTAAGCTATGTATCATGCTCCAATTATCATGTTTCCTTACAGTCTAACAGGATGTCGCAAGAAGTAAATAAAATAAATTGTCACAACGCAGTTAAATGTTATACANAAAAAAAATTGATAACTGAACCAACAACTATAACATATAATGGATTAATCCAAAATTAGCACAGGTGCAAATATCAATTAAGAGATAAAATTTCGGTTACATACCCACTTGCAATGGGGTGTCTGGTGCCCTAAGAATTTGCCAATACGTTCTCTTATCTGGATCCTCCGATATGCCGTTGATCTCGGTGATGTAGTGGCCAAGAGAGGTGTCCTTAGCTTTGAAACTAAAGGCAAGATCAACGAGATTAATGAACGAGCTTGGACATTGTTCGCAATTTTTTCGTCATGATTTTTTAAAATATAAATGTGACTCAATGCTATTATTCATTATTTGATTTCACTAACAGACCAATAAACTTATATCAATTTAATTCACTTCAAAGAGCACACACAGAACAGCGGACTAACAGATCCGCGGTTCAAATATTCGCTTCAATTCATTTATGAATTAGTGCATGTGTTTAACGACGTGCATATGGTCCATATGTATTATATGTTGTGCAAATTAAAGCAGTACATTTCTGTAAATCTATATGTTAAAAGACAAAATATTTAATCCAAATGAAAGAATTTGTTTTCACCATTAAGCTGTCATAAACCGTGAAAAAAGAGAACTTTATATTAAAAATTGAAAATCAAGCAGCCTACCTGAAATCTGATACTCTTTTCTGAAGAATTTCCATGGAATCGTACAAGGATGATCCTATTGGAACGGTCACATAGTAACTCTGGTTTTCACTGTGTCCTTCTATATTAGCAACTACCTGAATGGTGAATGTTAGCTGTGTGGGGGTTGTGGTTGTAGTGGGCGGAGCTTGAGTAGTTGTGACAGGGGGCGGGGCCTTCTGACAGATCTTGATGTCCCCCAAATCAGCATATAATTTGCCAGCAAGGGCGGGGAGAACCTGATTGGCAGCTGTCACTCCTCCAAACGATCCATCCGGTTCTGTTAGAATCAAAAGGCACTACTAAGCTATGTATCATGCTCCAATTATCATGTTTCCTTACAGTCTAACAGGATGTCGCAAGAAGTAAATAAAATAAATTGTCACAACGCAGTTAAATGTTATACAAAAATACATTTTTACCCCACATGTATTCAGGAAAGTCTTTACTTACGTTGATGGGCAACGAGGGTAAGTTGAGCTTTCTTCTTGATCTGTTTTCGACTGCTCTTATTATCTGCGTACAGAGCCTACAATCACAAAGAACATATTAGACGCACGTTCGCGCCGATTTAGATATTTAGAACACAACACTGGCTGATTCCATACATGAGCTGTGACAGCAGAAGCGCTTAGAATTACCATATCTGTGATATCCCACTTAATTTATTAACTGCAATCGGATTGTTTTGTCTTTCACTGGTGTTCTGGTTCAATATTAACATGGAATCAATGTAAAAAATGTGGGAACCTCGTCATATTTTACACTAAATAGTCTTAGTTGTATATACCTGAACGGCCAGTCCAGTAGTGTATTGGTTGCCAAATGAACCATCCGGTTTGATATTAGACAGTATATACTGGATCCCAGTGTTGATGGCAGGTATGACGTCCGCGGCACCGGTCCGGTTTCTCACACAAGACAATGCAATAACTGATATTGCAGCTTCATCTGGAAACGGAGACAGGAAACGGAAATTAAATGTTTTCAAAGAAGAATAAAAAAAAGTAAATAAAACGAAAGTGAAAGTGTATGAGAAAAGTTCAAGACGGTGGCTGGATTTAAACATGTAAATTAATTGATTAAATAGCCAGACAACTGTACGACCAACGGAGCAAAGGATAAAAAAAAAAAAAATAAATAAAATAAATGAATAAAAAAAGAGGCAAGCACAAGAAATGTTAAAAAGAAAAACATGATAAAAAATGCCATTACCAACTCCGAAAGTATAATTTCCAGCACCATCTACAAGACGTTCGTAGTACGTCTCATTTATTGCACCAGAGTTGCACAGAGCTAGCACAGCCCAGCTGTAGGCGAAGTTCTGGTTAAAGTAATACTTGGGAAAGTTGTTCATCTGGTTCATGAGAAGTTCTATAAGGTTATGGTCATAGAAATTTGCCGGATCTTGACAGGTAGACACAAGGCCGTTGATGAACTGGCCAAGTTTCCCACCAAACCAGGCGGCTGTGTCCAACCCTGGGTAGCTGCAACAAAAAGTTTTATTGATTAACGTATCTATTTACTTATTTATTTATCTGTACTTAAAAACCCAGTTTAAAAAACACACCAGGTAGAATTATATAATACAATATATATTTTAACAAAATAGTTAAATATTAAATATTTGTTAAAACTACCCAGTATATACTGCAGGAAATGTTGCACTTTATTGATCAATTTATTTCTAGACAAGTACATAGACAGTTAAAACCAAATAGAATCATAGACCATAAATAAACTACTCAGCATTTAAAAATAATTAAAAGTTGGTTGTTAGATATCAACGTACTTGCTAATAGCTGCCAGGAGAACCAAGTTCATTTCCTTGACGCTGGCGACGGTGCTTGGCCTTTTCGGATTATACCAGCAATCTCCACCAGCTAACTGAAGCGCTATGATGGCCTCAGCCTCACTTCGCATGCCCCAACCCCAATCTTCATTTCGGTCCTTTAGCAGCCATCTTATTCCTTTCTCTCTAGCCTTGTCAATGTCTGAGTTGGTAAATATTAGTGATGTATTATTTCAAATTTATATTCATTTAAATGGCGGAAATTTAGTAAATGTGTGCGTGTGCATGTGTGTTTGTGTAAGGATTTTTAGATACATGTAGCATTAGGCGCATGGCAAAGTCAATGGTAAAAATTTTCTTAAGTGTCACTTATTGTGCGTAGTCATTCTGACTAAGATAATAGGTATTTTAACGTTTGGTTGCAAACGAGTTTTCTCAAGTCATATCACTCTAACTAATGTTTAGCACTACTCTTATTGATGATAATTCTATTCAGTTAATACATATATGGATAATAAATATGAGATATCTACAAGTGAAATAATAGGGTTGGGTCTCGGTGTCTTTAGGTAGTGCTGTTGTTGTTCATATAAAAAATATGCCTTTCCTGATTTGAAATTGCACTCAGGATGTCATCAGAAATGTTAATTTTTACTGATACATACAAACTTCCGTCAATTATGGGATAAAGAGAAATTGAGTTATAGGTAGTCGTCGCGTAACTACACGCAAGAACGTAAAAATATTCTAGTAAGCAGTTGTTTAATCTTTACACTAAATGTGCATTCTTTTCCATATTATCAACTAAGACACCAGCCTGATTCTCATTTCAAACACCTTTTGATCATGTATCCCAGCTGTAACATCCAAATAATTTATCCGAAACATGATGTGTATACAGATGTGTATGGTATGTAAAAGGAACGTGCTACTTTGTGAAAAAATTGAGTGTCCTGAGAAATCAAGGTCACAAATGTAACCAAATGTAAAAAGCCGTATACCCTCAATATATACACGTATATATATATATATGGGTTTCTTTTCAGGGTTTTCTTGTCAGGGTTTCTTTTCGAACGCGTGTCTTAATTGACTGGTCTGTTATACAGTATAGATGCAGAGAAGACTTAGCATTTTTTTTTCCCACATATCCAGATTTTCATTAATTTAATTTCACGGAAGTGTAGTGTTTGATAAGTTCTCCGGCTCAGTGGAGTCATCGTGTTTTATTGGTAAATGATTACCATATATTTACGATTTCGGGCCGAAATTTGATTATTTTAAGGCACGTGGTATAAAAAATTCAAGCTTTGAAAAGACTAGTCCATGATGATTGAAAAAAAATATAGTAGCAAAGAGGGGGCAGTTACCAGTAGTTGTTGTATCCCCTTGTATAACGGGGCATATTCATATAGTAAAAAATAAACGCAAAGATATATGCATTATATGTCATAATGTTACAACAACGGCTCTCATACAAATTATCTTTCTGTGGTAAATTGTAGATTAAAAAAAATAATAATAATAATTATAAAACACTCCATACAAAATATTCGAGTTGTATAAATTAAATATCAATATTTCTGATTTAAAATTCACGGTTTGAACCAGAGCATCTTATTGATATATGATATGTGAAGCATATTCTACTTACCACTCGGACAAAATATGGTGAATCCCAAGGTGCATAAAAGTGCGTAAAAACCCCTCATAATGTTCCACTTTCTTTAGCTCCGGGTATTTGCCTGCAAATATCTACACTCAAAACACTGACACGCTTTGATCGGTCTGTAGCTTTCTTTTATACCTTTCAAAGAGGATATGCAAACGAGGTGTCACCTGATGTGTTAGTCATTTTTTAAGCTCCCTTTACACTGGACGGCGTCCTTTCTGCGTCCCTTGGTGCGGCCCCGTTTG